GTTGTATTAGCATAGATACATCTCATTACCATGGAGATTATTTGACCCCGCCCCCTCAGTCAAGGTCTATTGACTTTGAATCTTTGTTTAGTTTTCATGTATTAGTTTGTGATTAGGTCAGTTTATAGGGAACCACTAGTGGTAGGTCCATGATATTTGGTATGCAGTTGTATAAGCATTGGCATATCTCATTTCCATGGAGATTATTTGGCCCCGCCCCCTCGTTCATAGTCTATTGACTTTGAAACTTTGTTTAGTTTTCATGTATTAGTTTGTGATTAGGTCAGTTTATAGGGAACCACTAGTGGTATGTCCATGATATTTGGTATGCAGTTGTATAAGCATTGGCATATCTCATTTCCAAGGAGAATATTTGGTCCTTACCCCTCAGTCATGGTCTGTTGACTTTGAAACTTTTACTTAATTTACATGTATTAGTTTGTGATTAGGTCAGTTTAAGATGAACCACTAATGTTAAGTTAATGATAATTGGTATGCAAATGTATTGGCATTTGCAAGTTTCATTTCCATGGAGATTATATAACCACACCCCCTAATTATGGTTCATTGACTTTGAAACTTTTACATAGTTTACAAGTTAATGTTTGTGTTTAGGTTTGTTTAAAGGGAACGACTTATGAAAAGTTAATGGTATTTGGTTTGCAGTTGTATTAGCATTGGCACATCTCATTTCCATGGAGATTGTTTAGCCCTGTACCTTCAGTCATGGTTCATTGACTTTGAATATTTGCATAACTTACATGTTAAAGTATTGCTATATTAATTTCAACATTTGCATTATCAAATAGGCGAGACATATCTCTGTGTTAACAGTTTATTGTATTATTTTGTTGACAAGCATTTGTTTTACTGTATGTATTCATGTTAAAGAATAAGATACCAAGGGTGATTAAAAATTCACAAATTACAGTAAATATAACACAATTACAAATGAAGAACACGAAAAACTAGTCTGCAAACATTTCACTGAAAATTAATTCCTAAAACAACACAAATGAAGTGCCAATATAGCCAGGTTTATATGAATCAAGAAGGAATATTTTGCTGAGCTTTATACTTTTAATTTAGCATTCCAGCAACACCGAACAACAAACTCTTAACTAAATATAATGTAACATATCAACAATAACAATATATATATAAGCACAAGCGATTTAAGGATAAACAGTATACAGATGCCAAATAAAAATAACTTTTTAGATTTGAAGAGCAATTAGTGTCAGATATTTATTTGTAAATTATTGTCCAAACATTCATAGAGAATAAGTTATTAAATAAATTGAGTTATTGAAATCCAGTCCTTATATTATGATAATTAATCCATATAAAATACTCATTTCTTAATTTACTTCAAAATCCAGGATAATAAATTATGAAATTAAATATATATAGGCTGCCAAATATGATAATAGAATGAAACAATTGAAACAATAAAATGTTGATAAAAAAACTAATTTTACAAATCAAAGTCCTAACTTGTCCAGTCATATGCATAAAACATTATGTATGTGATGACTATCTAGAAATACATGTTTATACAATTTGTAACAATCTGATAGATACGGTATTTATATTTCACAAATGTGGTATGTGACATATGAAACTAACATCTTACCACCACAATGCTATGCTGAATGTCAGAATAAAAGTTTATCCAGTAAATGTGTACTAAAATGAAATATAAGATCTGAATAAAATCATAGCCTTCTTTGGTGTGTCAAGACCAAAAGTTTTGAATCTTCAAAATTGCCTAGACAGAACAGCCAAAACTTCGTACTGTCAATAAGTATAAATAAAAAGAGACATTACATCAATGAGACCTCAACCTTAATAACAAAAAACCTTTAAAAAAATGCATCCAGAGAGCTGCATAGACAATGTCTCAGATATATTAAATCAAGCCGAATTGCCTAGTCCAGAAAAAGTGATAATTTAAACAGAGACTACCAAAGATCTTTATCAACAACTAAAAATTTCATAGATACCCCAAAACATTTAAAGTGAAACGATAAGGACATCGAGTCTATGATCAACATTGCTTGTGATAATAGCAACCTTAGCTTATTCACAATTACATACTCTCAGTAAGTTTTTCATTAGGTAAAAAAAACACAATAATTTATTCTGGATTGTTGTCCTTTTGGAAATGCAGTTTTTGTCTGTTTAATATTCTTAATTAAACATATCATAAAGCAAATACACCTTTCAACGCTCCTATCAATCAGCAGTAAATTAATCAATCACATGAGATTTGTTCACCCTCCACCACGGGAAATAAATGTATATTGTCTTCTGTACGAATATTTGCCCATTGTACTTGACCTTTTTTATGTATAAGTTACAAAAAAAGGAAAGAAGTTAGAACTATGGGATGCATTTTGATTTTAAAAAGGGTAAGTACAATATGGAAATAGAGGAAGAGAGTTGTATATAAATTTATAAAAGGATAAGTACAATGGGCAGTAACTTCGAAACTGCAATATTTTATTTGTTTCTTTTTATTCAGTATAAATGGACATGATTACTTCAAGACGTCATACATTTATCTCTCATTTCAACCCTTCAGGAGTAATTAGTCTCATCATACTGTAACACATAAGCGAATATATGAACAAAATGTTGTTCTTTATTTATATTTGCTATAACAAATTCTTTACATTGTTTATAGAATAGCCGCCATTTTATTGATTAGCTTGACATAGGATGCTGGGTTGCCATGTGTTGCTAAGGTGGGAGGGACATATCAGTGAATATTGGAAAGGTGTATAGCATGTATCTTCATACATTGTCATACATTATTCAGAAGGCCTAGTTTGACAACCTTATACCTTGACAGCTGTCAAAACCTGAGGTTAAAGAGAGGCGAAAGATACCAAAGGGACATTCAATCTCATAAGTGGAAAATAAACTGACAGCGCCATGGCTAAAAAAGAAAAAGACCAACAGACAAAAACAGTACACAAAAAACAACATAGAAAACTAGACTGGGCAATACGAACCCCACCAAAATCTAAAAAGCAGAGTTTTCTGAATGTGTTAGATTTATCTCTCTTTGATTAGATTGAAAGCGGTAAAATTTTAACATGCAGATTTTTATGCCCCACCTAGGGGCAATATGTTTTTCGGTCTGTGCATCCGTTCGTTCGTCCGTTCGTTCGTTCGTTCGTCCGTCCGTCCGTCTGTCCCACTTCAGGTTAAAGTTTTTGGTTAAAGTTTTTGGTCAAGGTAGTTTTTGCTGAAGTGGAAGTCCAATCAATTTGAAACTTAGTACACATGTTCCCTACGATATGATCTTTCTATTTTTAATGCCAAATTAGAGTTCACTGAACATAGAAAATGATAGTGCGATGGGGCATCCGTGTACTATGGACACATTCTTGTGTACACATCTATTTGTTTTGGTTGGGCGATAAATACAAGCCAGCGGTGGGTTTTTGACTGATGCTGTTGTGTTTGAGAAACAGAAGGTTAAATTTAATGGTCTAAACAGCAATCTAGATTTTAATGAAATAGGATAACACATATAAGTTGTTGTTTTAATGAAATAGAATAACACATATAAGCTGTTACCTTGTTTTAATGAAATAGGATAACACATATGAGTTGTTACCTTTTTAATGAAATAGAATAACACATATAAGTTGTTACCTTGTTTTAATGAAATGGAATAACACATATAAGTTGTTACCTTGTTTAAATGAAATAGGATTACACATATAAGTTGTTACCATGTACCTGTAACATGAGGGAATTAATGGTATTTGTACTGAATGACTTTGATGCATTTCTTTTTGTATGCTCATTCAATTATCACCAAAAAAATCTTCATATATGAGCTGCAGCTGATATTTAAAAACACGTTTTAATAATTTTTCCTACTGTTTATTGTTATATATTGTAAAAATTGTTTTATTTATATTCCAGTTTTGATAATTACTTATGTTGCTCAATAACAACACAAACTGTATCCAAAAAGGAAAGTAACTTTTACTGCTTTGAAAAAACATATGCATCTGTTCGGTCTGTTTTTTTATGCAAGCAAAACATATTATTGGTTCTGATATATATATTTTGAAAATCAGTTGAATGGTAAAGGTTGTGTTAAGCAATCATTTGTTAAAATAAACTGAACAACTAATAGAAAGAAACGTTGTTTCCCGAGCTTTTCCTTTTAAACCATCCAGATACAGTAGCAATATTTGAAAAATATCCTTTTCTTATGTACCTACATAAATTATAATAACACGCTATGACTAGTCTTTTTAGTGTTTCTTATATAATTTCTCCAACATTTTTTGGTCCTTATATGTAACTTAACAATCAATAGGTTCCCCTTGTACAAACTACTTTCCAAAACAACGCCTCATTAATGTCCTGTTACATTGAGAACCAAGGCAAGCAAGACTAAGGTCAGGAATTTGTGCAGGTTTATCATCTCCCTTATTTTCCCCTTGAAGTTGACGACTCTATATATTGCATATAAATAATATCTTAAAATTAGGTACAATATAAAAATGAGGAGATGTGGTATGATTGCCAATGAAACAACTATTCACCAAAGTTCAAATGAAGTAGATGTAAGCAATTATAGGCAACTGTACGGCCTTCGACAAAACGACAACAAAAAAGACACAAAGTACAGATCTGAGAGTACTCGCAGTTAATGACAGCATGTTCAAAGCCATACAAGTTGGTTAAAGTATGGGTGAGTAAAAAGTGGGGAACGAGTTGACATGCATCCATGCATTCTTGTTGTTTTTAATATTGTGCGAAGACTTATTTTATTGGGTTTAAAATGTAAACAGTAAACTTTTACGAAGCACTTAGCTCAACAATACAGCTGCTCTCAAATTTAAAATGTAGTTACAAAAAAAGCAAATAAACTGGTGTTACCCTGAAGTTTCAAATAGTATGACAAAATGCATTTAATTTTTCAGGATATACTGGTTTCTTTAACTATATAGCATGTTCTATTTCAGCCACCTATGCACTTCTGTGATTACCCATTTGTGTTTGATGGACCTGCTAAATCTATGCTACTTCAAACAGATGCCTTTATGCAAATGAGGGTAAGTTAATTCTAAATACTGATAAAAATTATTTGATTGTTATATTTCAGGTTTTTTTTTTAACAATTTTAAAGCAAAAAAAATGCAAAACAATACTGTGGACCATGCAGTAAGGAATATGAACATAATAAAGAAAATGAGTCACCATAAATTGGATTAACTGAATTGGGAATCATTTTGATCTCGCCTTGACGGAGTCAATAAGCGAGACATAGGTATGCTGCTCCAGCGGCGGCGTCAATAATATTTGGTCTGCAGTTGTATTAGCATTGGCACATCTCATTACCATGGAGATTATTTGGCCCCGCCCCCTCAGTTAAGGTCTATTGACTTTGAAACTTGCTAAGTTTACATGTATTAGTTTGTGATTAGGCTAGTTTATGGTGAACCACTAGTGGTCGGTCAATGATATTTGGTATGCAGTTGTATTAGCATTGGCATATCTCATTACCATGGAGATTATTTGGCCCTGCCCGCTCAGTCATGGTCTATTGACTTTGAAACTTTTGCTTAGTTTTCATGTATTAGTTTGTGATTAGGTCAGTTTATGGGGAACAACTAGTGGTAGGTCAATGATATTTGGTATATAGTTGTATAAGCATTGGCATATCTCATTTCCATGGAGATTATTTGGTCCCGCCCCCTCAGTCATGGTCTATTGACTTTGAAACTTTTGCTTAGTTTTCATGTATTAGTTTGTGATTAGGTCAGTTTAAGGGGAACACTTAGTGGTAAGTCAATGATAATTGGTATGCAGTTGTATAAGCATTAGCGCATCTCATTTTCATGGAAAATATTTGGTCCTTACCCCTCAGTCATGGTCTATTGACCTTGAAACGTTTAGCTTAGTTTACATGTATTAGTTTGTGATTAGGTCAGTTTAAGATGAACCACTAATGCTAAGTCAATGATATTTGCATTTGCAAGTTTCATTTCCATAGAGATTATATAACCCCACCCCCTCATTATGGTTTATTGACTTTGAAACTATTACATAGTTTACAAGTTAATGTTTGTGTTTAGGTTTGTTTATAGGGAATGACTTATGAAAAGTTGATGGTATTTGGTATGCAGTTGTATTAGCATTGGCACATCTCATTTCCATGGAGATTGTTTAGCCCTGTACCTTCAGTCATGGTTCATTGACTTTGAATATTTGCATAACTTACAAGTTAAAGTATTGCTATTTTAATTTCAACATTTGCATTATTAAAATAACAAACAGGCAAGACATATCTCTGTGTTAACAGTTTATTTTTTAAAATATAGGTTATGGTTATCCAGCTTTTGTATGGATCTTTATTAATATCTAAGAATTTCAACCACTGAAAAAATTTCATTCCTCTACAAAGATAAAACAAAGATGTAGAGAAAACAACAATGACATCGAAATCTAGGATCATGAGGTTAAGTTTACCAAATAGAATGACCTAGTTGCTTAGATGTGACCCTTAATGCACATCAAAAGTAACGCTGTATTACCCAAATGAAATTAAACCTGTTAATCTCAGCTACTTGTTAATAAATCAATTTTGTCTTTTATAATTGGCTTATTTTGACAAACAGAACAATCATTATACCTAGCATAATAATTTCATAAATATTACTTTATTACTTTTAATGGGAAAAAACGTAGGTCATGTTTTTCTCTGACTGTTAATGACGTCTTTACACCAAATTCATTGGATGTTGGATGTATAAAAAAATAAGAAGATTTGGTATAATTGCCAACGAGTCAACTCTCTACAAGAGACCAAATAAGGAAATGCCTGTACCAAGTGAGATATATGACAGTTGTTTTCCATTCGTTAGATGTGTTTGAGCTTTAAATTTTGCCATTTGATAAGGGACTTCCGTTTTAAATTTTCCTTGGAGTTCGGTTCTATAAGGGATATTTGTTGATTTTGATATCTTATGGCGGCCATCTTGGAAAATGTCGTCATATTGAAATTTTAATTTGGGTCCATAGCTTACATTGTTTGAAGCACTCAGCACTAATAACATGACAAATTTGAACTAATATTGTTGGTTGATTTTGATATTTTGTGGCGGCCACCTTGGAAAAAGCTGCTATATTGAAATTTCAAGGTGTGTTCAAATTTAATGTTTTTTGAAATACCCAGCACTACTGCCATGCCAAATTTGACTTTAAATGTGACCTTATATAAGTAATATATGTTGATTTTGATATTTTATGGTGGCCATTTTGGAAATAGCCGCCATATTGGAATTTTAAGGTGAGTCCATAGCTTATATTGTTTGAAACATCCAAAACTACTACCATGCCAAATTTGGTGCTTTTATCATCAAACCCACAATTGTGTCTCCATTCTGCAGGACTACTATGTTATATACTAAGGCATAATGCTGAAATAAGTACTTGGAAGGAATAAAACATGTTAGAAAATATTTTTAAACATTTTTACTCAAGTTGAACCATGGTAAACTGAACCCCCCACATGTGAAGCAGGATCTGCTTACCCTTCCGGAGCTCCTAAGATCACCCCCAGTTTTTTGTGGGGTTCGTGTTGCTCAGTCTTTAGTTTTCTATGTTGTGTTTAGTGTACGTCTGTTGGTCTTTTTTCATTTTTAGCCATGACGTTGTCAGTTTATTTTCAACTTATGAGTTTGAATATCCCTTTGGTATCTTTCGCCTCTCTTTTTCAGCAATGGTATGTAATTAAAATGCATTAATAAGTACTTGGTAGGAAATAGTTTTCTAACATTTGTACTCAGCCATGGCAAATTGAACCCCTACCATGGAAAACTGAATCCCCCCCCCCCCCCCCCCCCCACCCCCTATAGACCTCATATTTTCAATTGTCATAGCTATTCCAGCTATGTTATATAGTTGAAATGCTTTAATAAGTACTTGGTAGGAATAAAACATGTTAGAAAATATTTTTAAACATTTTTATTCGGCGATGTAAAATTGAAGCCCCTACCATGGAAAACTGAACCCCCTATAGAACTCATATTTTCAAATTGACATAGCTATTCAAACTTCCAACTATGGTATGTAGTTATAATGCATTAATAATTACTTGGTAGAAATAAAACATGTTAGGAAATATTTTTTAACATTTTTACTCAGCCATGGAAAATTGAACCCCCTTCCATGTAAAACCGTACCCCGAGCTATTCCAGCTATGTTATGTAGTTATAATGCATAAATAAGTACTTGGTAGGAATAAAACATGTAAGAAAATATTTAGAAAATTGTTTTACTCAGCCATGGAATATTGAACCCCCTATCATAGAAAAATGAACCTCAGATTTTCAAATTGTCTTAGCTATTCCAGCTATGTTATTTAGTAATAATGCAGTAATAAGTACTTGGTAGAAATAAAACATGTTAGAAAAATAAATCTTTTTACTAAGCCATGGAAAATTGAACCCCTACGTTGGAAAACTGACCCCCACAGCCCCCCCCCCCCCCCCGCCCCCCCCCCCCCCCCGCCATAGACCTCAGATTTTCGAATTGTCATAGCTATTCCAGCTATATGATATATATAGTTATAATGCATTATAAAGTACTTGGTAGGAATAAAACATGTTAAAACATATTTTTTAAATGTTTAACCCCCCCCCCCACCTATATACCTCAGATTTTCAAACTGTCATAGCTATTCCAGCTATGTTCTGTAGTTATAATGCATTTATAACTACTTTGTAGGAATATAATGCATTTATAACTACTTGGTAGGAATAAAACATGAAAGAAAATATTTAAAAAAAAATTATTCAGCCATCGAAAATTGAATCCCCTTCCACGGAAAAATTAACCCCCCTCTATAGACCTCTGATTTTCTAATTATCATTGCTATTCCAGCTATGTTATAAAGTTATAATTTAATAAGTAATTGTTATTAATATTTTTTTAATTTTCTACTCAGCCATGGAAAATTGAACCCCCTTACCATCGAAAACAGAACCCCCCCCCCTAATAAACCTCACATTTTAAAATAGTCATAGCTATTCCAGCTTTGTTATACATGTATAGAAATAATGCATCAATAAGTACTTGGTAGTAATGAAACATGTTAGAAAATATTTTTTTAAAAATTTACTCAGCCATTGAAAATTGAACCTCCTTCCATGGAAAAACTGAACCATCCTCTATAGACCTCAGATTTTCAAATTGTCATAGCTATTCCATCTATGTTATATAGTAATAACGCATTAATAAGTACTTGGAAGCAATAAAACAAGTTAAAAAATATTTTTAAACATTTTTACTCAGCCATGGAATATTGAACCCCCTTCCATGGAAAACTGCCCACCTCCCTATAGACCTCAGATTTTCAAGTTATCATAGCTATTCCAGCTTTGTTATATAGTATTAATGTATTAATTAGCACTTAGTAGGAATAAAACATGTTAGAAATTATTTTTTTTTAATTTCTGAGCCATGGAAAATTGAACCCCTTCCAATGGAAAACTGAACTCTTTTTTTCAAATTGTCATAGCTATTCCAGCTTTGTTATGTATTTATAATGCTTAAATAAGTACTTGGTACGAATAAAACATGTAAGAAAATCTTTAGAAAAAATTTTACTCAGTTATTTCAGGGAAAACTGATAGGAATAAAACATGTTAGAATCATATTTTTAATATTTCTACCTAGCCATGGACAATTGACCCCCCCCCCCTTTTTTACCCAACCTCAGATTTTTTAATTGTCATAGCTGTTCCAGCTATGTTATATAGTTATTATGCATTAATCAGTACTTGGTAGGAATAAAACATGTTAGAAAATATTTTTAAAAAATTTTACTTCGCCATAAAAAATTGGAACCCCCTACCATGGAAGACTGAACTGCCCCTATAGACCTAAAATTTTCAACTTGTCATAGCTATTCCAGCCATGTTATGTAGTTATAATGCATTAATAAGTACTTGGTAAGAAATTAAAAAAAATTCTTCTCAAAATTGAACCCCCTGCCATGGAAGACTGAACTCCCCCTATAGACCTCAGATTTTCAAACTGTCATAGCTATTCCAGCCATGTTATGTAGTTATAATGCATTAATAAGTACTTGGTAAGAAAATTAAAAAAAAATTCTCAAAATTGAACCCCCTGCCATAAAAGACTGAACTCCCCCTTTAGACCTCAGATTTTCAAACTGTCATAGCTATTCCAGCCATGTTATGTAGTTATAATGCATTAATGCATTGATAATTACTTAGGAAACAAATTTAAAAACAAGAATAAGTACTTGGAATGAATAAAAAATGTAAGAAAATATTCTAAAAAATTTACTCCGCTATGGAAAATTGAACCCCTTTTCATGGAAAACTGAACCAACCCCTCTATAGACCTATTAGTCAAAGCTATTCCAGCTATGTCATATAGTTATAATGGATTAATAAGTTCTTGGTAGGAATAAAACATGTTAGAAAATATTTAAAAACATTTTTCCTCCTCTATCGAAATTGAATCCCCTACCATGGAAAACTGAACACCATCAAAAACATTTACTAAATTTTATCATCGATATAAGGACATCATTCGTAAATATAGCTCAACATGCAGACTTCTTATACGTTCAGGTATTTCACATCCAATTTTTTATGGAAATATTCTTTATAAAGCACAAAAATGTCAGTATTCACCTCTGAAACTAACAAAACCTTTAAATAGACTTATTAAGAAGGGATATAGTTACGATACTGTTGTCAGGTCATTAAAGATTGCATATTTTGGCGTTAATATTGATTCACTTATAGGGTCTTTGCATCGGCACTAAACACATTTATTTAAAAACCAGTTGTTGGCATGACACGGGTTATGTTCTTCTCATATATGTTATGATGGTATGATACTAAACCCCTAACGGGAAGGATTGTGCCTGATATTCATATGATGAAGACATAATCTTTCAATCAGTTTAATTGAAGTCTGGAGCTGGGATGTCAGTTAACTGCTAGTAGTCTGTTGTTATTTATGTATTATTGTCATTTTGTTTATTTTCTTTGGTTACATCTTCTGACATCAGACTCGGACTTCTCTTGAACTGAATTTTAATGTGCGTACTGTTATGCGTTTACTTTTCTACATTGGCTAGAGGTATAGGGGGAGGGTTGAGATCTCATAAACATGTTTAACCCCGCCGCATTTTTGCGCCTGTCCCAAGTCAGGAGCCTCTAGCCTTTGTTAGTCTTGTATTATTTTTAATTTTAGTTTCTTGTGTACAATTTGGAGTTTAGTATGGCGTTCATTATCACTGAACTAGTATATATATTTGTTTAGGGGCCAGCTGAAGGACGCCTCCGGGTGCGGGAATTTCTCGCTGCATTGAAGACCTGTTGGTGGCCTTCTGCTGTTGTTTGTTCTGTGGTCGGGTTGTTGTCTCTTTGACACATTCCCCATTTCCATTCTCATTTTTATTGTTATACATGTATAGTAATAATGCATTAATAAGTACTTGGTAGGAATAATACATGTTAAAAAATAATTTAAATTTTTTTTTACTCAGCCATGGAAATTGAATCCCCCTCTATAGAACTCAGATTTTCAAATTGTCATAGCTATTCAAACTACTTGATATAGTTATAATGCCTAACCTAATGTACATTTGACATTCATTTAACGAATAACAGGGTGTTCAATTTTCCAGGGTGAGGGGTCAATTTCCCGCTATGGAAAATTGACCCCGGGTTTAATTTTCCATACAGGATTTTGACCCAGGGTTCAAATTTCAGGGAGTTTAATTTTCCATATGATTCCGGCTTTAGTGGAATTTCTTTGGAAAAATAATTTGGATAGACTTTATAAGATGTAACACCACCAAATTGGGCCCAGTCTAAAAACATACAGGAAAGTAGTACGTATTTAAAACAAAATGGTTCCTACACATAGGTGTATATATCAAACTATGTAGAATATATTTTGGAATTTAGGTATCAAATGAAAGGTAAAAATCAGGTGATCCTTATAGAACAAATTTTGACTGATAATTTTGAATTATACAAAAATGTTTAAATGAATTCTAAAATTGAGGACATATGTTGCCTGTTTCTAAGATATGAAGTACCTGGTTTGGTACCTATGCATGTGTATTTATAGACCTGCTGTTTTTTAATTCTGATTTTTATCAATGACCTAACAGCCTTAATCAATTATAAAAGAGTATCCAAGTCTCTTTATTTCTCGTGTTTATCGCATTGCCTGGCATAACCCTCGACTGAATCCATCAGTATTTTGAAGTTGTGTATCCAATTGATGGACTAAGGCTTACAATATTTTGGGCCTCTGGATAACAAATTTACCAGAGAAGTGTTATTGAGAATGTTTTGGTCACCAATGATAACGTGGCCAGCGGGATTATATATATAAAGGGAACAAGCACAGGTGCAATCAGTAGGTTTAGACTTGAATTCGTCAATATTGAGATCCTGCTAAATGTGTTTGTAATTGAAAATTTTAGTTGCAATGGGTTTGGTATATAAGTATAAGAAATGATAGGTACTGACTGATCTTTGAACTAGGGAGATATTTTTGAGTGAACAGATTTGTGATGAATGATAATGCCCAAGTTGATGGCATTGAGACCTTTGTTGTGAAATGAAAGTTTTGGACAGGACCTTTTCTCTTTTTCATCTTTTCCAATGTGAACTGATCTGTGACTTGCAATATCAAATTTGATGGCTTTAAGTTTGTTTTGGTTTGAATAGGGGTTTGTAACAGTGGTTTCCGAATATAAGTTGTACAGAGAATGGAGTTTTGAAAACGGGGTAGTGTATAAAGATTTGTGTTAATGTGTTTATAATTTAGAATTACAAACGGCAAGATAATACAACAGAGATTTTGCATTTTATTTATCCTGAATGGTAGTCTTGATTTGGAGAGAGAGAATAGTCTTTTGTTGTTATATTTCTTAAAACCCTGCGACACCTTGGTAAGGTGGTGCTGAAAGGGTGATGTAAAACCCTGACTATTGTAAAAAAAATAAAATAAAGATGTAAATACAAAGCAGTAACTTAAAACATTCCACCAAAACTATATAAAAAAAAAGAAATAATTATTTCAGAAAGTGACATATTTGCTAAAATTTGTTAACAAATATCCTGGATTTTTCAGACTGCCTTGGAAGAAGCTCAACGACGAAACTTCCAGAGTTTGTTTTTACAAAATATTGACCCAGTTAGCCCTTTGCTGGTGCTACATGTGACTAGAGAAAATATTGTTAAAGATACAATACAACAGTTAGAACACAAAGGCAGCGGGGATCTAAAGAAACCTCTAAAGGTAAAATGTATTGCCCTTTATAAATAATAGAGAAAGATAGACAAATCAGGTCCTTATCACTTGTATTTGATGTGAAAATACTTTAAAATGACATTCCTGACATTATATAGGTTCTTTATAGGACATGTTAAAGTTAGATTTTACAATGTTTACCATAAAGTGTGTTACCATTAAATGCTTACAAGGAATGTCATGGTGATAAATTTTTAAAAATACAACTAAACTATTTCCATGAGTTCTAAATCATGTATTTTCACTTGCATCGGCAACAATGTAAGCAGGTATAGTAACACTAGTAACCCGAATTTAGAATGATCGGCAATATAAGTATGAACCCTATTTAAAAATGATTACTTAATATATAAATAAGATTGACAAAAATTAAAAACTGTTGGCGTGGCTAGGTATTTGTGTTATTGTGCTATGGTAATTTTTGCATTCTTGTCTTTCATTTTTGCTTATGTACTTTGTTTATAGAGTGTCTATATGCCTTGTGTTTCTTTGTTGAAATAGTTATTTGTTTTCATAGTGATTAAGATTATAACACAAAATGTGGACTGCTGTACCCCGATTTTGACACTTTTACCTATTATGTCTTTGTTTTGCTCACACATTGTTGTCAATATAATGGAGTTCTATGCGAATGTCATACAAGTGAGAGGTTTAGATAGCTTTAAAACCAGGTTTAATCCACCATTTTCTACATAAGGAAATGCCTCATATGACAGTTGTTTTCCATTCGTTTGATGTGTGTGAGCTTTTGATTTTGCCATTTGATAAAGGACTTTCCGTATTGAATTTTCCTTGTAGTTCGGTATTTTTGTTATTTTACTTTTTTTTCAATCCACTTCAAATTATTTTAATACCAGTCAAATAGATTCCTTAGCGGTCATTCAAGTTAATTTAAGATATGGTTCAGCTCCGTCAAACTAATTAGACATCCCCCGTTCAACAATTTCAAACTGGTATTAATTCGTTTTAAACATTGTTGAGACATGTTAAATTATCCGCATGGTTGTACAGGTAAATCACTCAAGCAAAAAAAACAACCCAGATGTTCACTTTTATGTGCGGTGAATTAATGTATTCCTGTATATTTACTTTTTTTCTGTCTATATTTTTGTCGAGACATAGCGATCCTACATTCCGTCGACGTTGTTGTCGTCGGCGGCGTCCACAAATATTAACTTTCTTAAACTATCCTGAGTTTGTACCAAACTTGGACAGAAGCTTGTTTATGATCATAAGATAGTATCCAGAAATAAATTTTGTAAAAAAATAAATCCATTTTTTCCTTATTTTACTTTTAAATGGACTTAGTTTTTCTGCTGGGAAGTATTACATTCACTCTGTGGTTAAAGTTTTTAAAATTTTAATAACTTTCTTATACTATTTTGGATTTGTACCAAACTTGGACAGAAGCTTGTTTATGATCAAAAGCTAGTATCTAGAAGGAAATTTTGTAAAAAAATAAATCCATTTTTTCCGTATTTTACTTTTAAATGAGCTTAGATTTTCTGCCAGGAAACAACACATTCACTCTGTGGTTAAAGTTTTTAAAATTAATAACTTTCTTATACTATTTTGGATTTGTTCCAAACTTGGACAGAAGCTTGTTTATGATCATAAGCTAGTATCTAGAAGGAAATTTTGTAAAAAAATAAATCCATTTTTTCCGTATTTTACTTTTAAATGAGCTTAGATTTTCTGCCAGGAAACAACACATTCACTCTGTGGTTAAAGTTTTTAAAATTTTAATAAATTTCTTATACTTTTTTGGATTTCTACCAAACTTGGACAGAAGCTTGTTTATGATCATAAGATAGTATCCAGATGTAAATTTTGTAAAAATAAAATTCCATTTTTTCCGTATTTTACTTATAAATGGACTTAGTTTTTCTGCCGGGAAATATTACATTCACTCTGTGGTTAAAGTTTTTAAAATTTTAATAACTTTCTTAAACTATCCTGAGTTTGTACCAAACTTGGACAGAAGCTTGTTTATGATCATAAGATAGTATCCAGAAGTAAATTTTGTAAAAAAATAAATCCATTTTTTCCTTATTTTACTTTTAAATGGACTTAGTTTTTCTGCTGGGAAGTATTACATTCACTCTGTGGTTAAAGTTTTTAAAATTTTAATAACTTTCTTATACTATTTTGGATTTGTACCAAACTTGGACAGAAGCTTGTTTATGATCAAAAGCTAGTATCTAGAAGGAAATTTTGTAAAAAAATAAATCCATTTTTTCCGTATTTTACTTTTAAATGAGCTTAGATTTTCTGCCAGGAAACAACACATTCACTCTGTGGTTAAAGTTTTTAAAATTTTAATAACTTTCTTATACTATTTTGGATTTGTTCCAAACTTGGACAGAAGCTTGTTTATGATCAAAAGCTAATATCTAGAAGGAAATTTTGTAAAAAATAAATCCATTTTTTCCGTATTTTACTTTTAAATGAGCTTAGATTTTCTGCCAGGAAACAACACATTCACTCTGTGGTTAAAGTTTTTAAAATTTTAATAACTTTCTTATACTATTTTGGATTTGTACCAAACTTGGACAGAAGCTTGTTTATGATCAAATGCTAGTATCAAGAAGGAAATTTTGTTTTCTTCCAGTTAACATTACATTCAGTCTGCAGTTAAAGTTTTTAAACATTTATTAGATTCATAAACTATCCTTGATTTTTACCAAACTTGGACAGAAGCTTCTTACAATCAAACGATAGTATCAAGAGGAATATTTTTATTGATTTACTTCCTCATTTTTGTTGAGCCTGTGATTAACAGAAAAAGTAGGCGAGACACTGGGTTCCGCGGAACCCTTACGAATTTTTATATTGTATTCGTTATTATACCCCCGCTTTAAAAAAGGGGGGTATACTGTTTTACCTCTGTCTGTCCTTCTGTCAGTCCATCAGTCCATCCGTCCGTCCCATGAATATTTTCGTCGCATTTTTCTCAGGAACTACTTGACAAGGATTTCTGAAATTTGGTTTCAGGGTTTATATAAGTAAGTAACACCGTGTGATTCGTTTTCAGATTCATCACTCAACAACTTCCTGTTTACCGAACACTTGTATTATTTTACACATGATAGCCAAGTTGAAAATTTTCGTCGCATTTTTCTCAGGAACTACTTGACAAGGATTTCTGAAATTTGGTTTCAGGGTTTATATAAGTAAGTTACACCTTGTGATGCGTTTTCAGATTCATCACTCAACAACTTCCTGTTTACCGAACACTTGTATTATTTTACACATGATAGCCAAGTTGAAAATTTTCGTCGCATTTTTCTCAGGAACTACTTGACAAGGATTTCTGAAATTTGGTTTCAGGGTTTATATAAGAAATTTACACCGTGTGATGCGTTTTCAGATTCATCACTCAACAACTTCCTGTTTACCGAACACTTGTATTATTTTACACATGATAGCCAAGTTGAAAATTTTCGTCACATTTTTCTCAGGAACTACTTGACAAGGATTTCTGAAATTTGGTTTCAGGGTTTATATAAGTCAGCTTTACCGTGTGATGCGTTTTCAGATTCATCACTCAACAACTTCCTGTTTAGTGAAATATTACGGCGGGGGTATCATCAGTGAGCAGTAGCTCACAGTTTTACTTGTTTAAATAAGCAATAGAGACACAGATGTAAAAGGAACAGAATGTATTCATTGTTGACATAATTTCAATGTATGCATCTTATCTTTTAGATATAAAAAAAATAATTTACAATTACTGACAATTAAAATAGCTTTTATTTAAAAAAAAGTGTTTTTATTGAATAAGAAAATTGATAGTGAAAATGTTGAAATTGTTGAATTCATTTTGAATACAGTCTTGCTCCAAGTAAGTTTTAGATAAATTAACCAATCTGTTTACTTTAAAATCTTTGGTAAAGTTGTAATACCAGTTACTGTTGCAAATGTGCGTTCACAGTGGAAAAGCAGAAAATATAAAAAAAAAAATAAGCGTAGTTACTGTTGCGTTTTTATACGCCTGTTTACGGGACGTATTATGGTATACCGTTGTCCGTCTGTCCGTCTGTCCGTCCGTCCGTCTGTTCGTCCGTCGTCAACATGTCGGACATTAACTCAAAAACGATTTAACCAATTTGCATAGAACTTTGGTGAATTGTTTATATCTATTGACGTGAGCTCCCTTTCGTTTTTTATAAATTTTAGATTTTACATTTCCGAGTTATGGGGTTTTATTCATTAAAAAAAAGGGGGATTTTCCAGTTTTCGGACAATAACTCAAGAATGCTTTCACCAACTTGCAAGAACTTTGGTGAATTGTTTATATCTATTGACATGAGCTCCCTTTCGTTTTTTATAAATTTTAGATTTTTCGTTTCCGAGTTATGGGGTTTTATTCATTAAAACAAGGGGGGATTTTCCAGTTTTCGGACAATAAATCAAGAATGCTTTCACCAACTTGCAAGAAATTGTGGTGAATTGTTTATATCTATTTACATGAGCTCCCTGTCGATTTTTAAAAATTTTAGATTTTTCGTTTCCGAGTTATGGGGTTTTATTCATTAAAAAAAGGGGGATTTTCAAGTTTTCGGACAATAACTCAAGAATGCTTTCACCAACTTGCAAGAAATTGTATTGAATTGTTTATATCTATTGACATGAGCTCCCTGTCGATTTTTATAAATTTTAGATTTTTCGTTTCCGAGTTATGGGGTTTTATTCATTAAAAAAAGGGGGATTTTCCAGTTTTCGGATAATAACTCAAGAATGCTTTCACCAACTTGCAAGAAATTGTGGTGAATTGTTTATATCTATTGACATGAGCTCCCTTTTAATTTTTATATATTTTAGATTTGACGTTTCCGAGTTACAGGGTTTTACTCATAAAAAAGGGGGATTTTCCAGTTTTCGGAGTTACAGGGTTTTATTCATAAAAAAAGGGGGATTTTCCAGTTTTCGGACAAAAAATCAAAAATGCTTTCAGCAGTTCTTATGAAACTTTGGTGAATTATTTA